GTGCGCCCTGTGTCGCCCCCCCCCCCCCCCCCCCCTGACATGTAAGTGCTGTCCCGCGTGATGGAGCCGCGGGGGGACCCCTGGACGTCGATGGTAGAGATCAGTTGGTTCTCGTAGATCAGCCGGTCCTCGATCACCTGGGGTGGACACGCACACAGGGTCAGGGTCCCCACTTGCGCTCTGGGGGGGATCTCAGAGAGGCGGGGGGGCACATCCCTACTTGGACGGTGGTGCCGCACTGCGTGACGGGGAAGCGGAACATCACGAAGGTCTCCGTCACCCTGACGGGTTCGCAGCCGGCCTGGGTGCTGGCGAGGCGGACGCTGTCCAGGTTGTAGGGCTGGGTGACGATGCCCCGCGGCACCACCAGGACGAAGTGCCCGTCCAGCAGGCACTGCACCGTGGCTGCGGCACGAGGGAGCGAGCGACTCCATCAGCCTGAGCAACCGGGACCCCTTCGCCACCCCGGCAAGGTGCTCGCCATGGCGGTCGGTGATAGGGGGGTCCCCAGGGACCCCCGCCCGGCATCCTACCTGTGTTGCCGTAATAGCAGGGCGCCATGCGGTCCATGTCATCGTAGCAGCAGCCCGCCTGCAGGCACGCTTCCCGGCCCTGCGGGGCCACGCAGGGCATCCTCCCCGCTGCCACCTGGCACTGCTCCCGCGTCAGCTGGGTGCCTGGGGTGGCAGAGGGGGGCCGCCGCCCTCAGCACCTCCCTGAGCATCCCCCTCCCCTGCCCTCCCGAGCAGCCCCCTGCCCGCCCCAAGCACCCCCTCACAGCTGTGACTGGGACCAGGGAACACCCAGCCCCAGCTGCACCCCTCCATCCCACCACGTTGGCTTACCTGCCCCTGCCGAGGGGTAGAAGAGAGCCGTGGATTGCAGCAGACTGGGCTGGGATTGAAGCCCAGGACGCAGCAAGCCAGGCTGGGCTTGGGGTTGCAGTCCTGGGCGCACCAGACCCGGCTGGAGCTGAGCCTGAAGGCCAGGGCGTACCAAACCTGGTCGGGATTGGAGTCCTGGGCGCACTAAACCCGGTCGGGGATGGCCGGGGTGCACCAGCCCGGCTTGGCTCTGGAGAGCCGGGCGCACCAGGCCTGGTTGGGACTGAGACTGGGACTGGGAGCCGGGGTGAGGCAGCCCAGCTTGGCTCTGGAGCCCAGGGCGCAGGAGACCAGCTTGGGAATGGGTCTGAAGGTTGGGACGAGCTAAGCCCGGCTGGCTTTGGGGCTGAGCTCCTGGGCGTACAAAGCCTGACTGAGTCTGAGCTCCAGCATGCATTAAGCCAGACTGGACGCCAGGGTGCACCAGCCCAGGCTGGTTTTGGCGCACAAGGCCTGGATGGAGAAGACCTGGTTGGTGCTGAGCTCCAGGGTGCACTAGCCTGGGCTGGTTTTGGGTCTGAACCCCTGGGCGGAGAAGACCTGGTTGGTGCTGAGCTCCAGGGTGCACCAACCCCGGCTGGTTTTGGGTCTGAACCCCTGGGCGGAGAAGACCTGGTTGGTGCTGAGCTCCAGGGTGCACCAACCCCGGCTGGTTTTGGGTCTGAACCCCTGGGCGGAGAAGACCTGGTTGGTGCTGAGCTCCGGGGTGCAGCAGCCCAGGCTGGGCTGGGGGCTGCATGCCCGGGCGTATTAAGCCCCGCTGGGGCTGGGCGATGGGGTGAACCATGCCAGGCTGGGGCTGAAGCCCTGGGCGAACCAGGCTGGGCTGGGCTTGGGGCTGCAGCCCGGGGTGCACCAGGACAGGCTGGGTCCGAGCCACGGGGTGAACCTGCTCCGAGTGGGCTTGGGGAGAGAGCTGGGGTCCCGGGACAGAGAGAGCGGACTGGGACACGTGGTGCAGGAGGCCAGGCTGGGACAGGGGGACAAGGACGTCAGTCTGGGTCTGGTGGACGTTGTTGCCCCGGTGCTCGGTGCGTGCGTTGCCATCGGTGAGGATCTCGTAGTCCCCCGGCTGCGGGCAGGTCATGTTGACTTCGTAGGAGGCAGCCAGGATCCCGCTGAGCAGCATCTCCTCCAGCTGCACCCTCAGGACGTAGCGGTCCTCCTGCGGCGGGGCGGGAGGGACAGTCACCCCCAGCCGCCGGCGCTGGGGGGACGGCGGTGGGGACGGGACCCTCACCTTCACCAGGACGTGGCAGCCCTCGTAGCCGGAGGAGAAGATGACGGCACCGTCCGCCCCAGCATTGAGCCAGTGGAGGCAGATGGAGCAGTTGGCCACGTCAAAGCGGGTGCCGAACTCGTCTGTGGTGACACCGTGGGGACGGGGTAAGTGAGGTGGCACAACCGGGTGCCGTGATGCTCCCCGTGGAGGCAGGCACACAGAAACCCTCCCCGGCTGCACTGCCCCACACCGAAAGCTCATTCAAGCCATTAGGCTGATCCCATCAAGGCACCAGCACCCCGGGGCACGCGGGTTTTGGGGTAACCGCAGGGCGATCCGGCACAAGGAGAGCCGGGGGGCTCGCGCCCGCCTGCCCCCCACTCACCCATGACTTTGAAGCGGACGGTGCGGCCGCGGGTGGGGTACGCCAGCAGCTGCATGCCGTAGTCCCCGCAATCGTAGCGGTACCGCAGGAGCGAGAAGGCGGCTCCCGGCCCCGGGGGCAGGAGGAGCAGCAGCAGGAGGAAGGAGCAGCTCCGGCCCATGGCGGCAGCGGCGGTGAGCAAGGCCGGAGCACGGGGATCTCTGTGGGTCAGCACTGAGGCCACGGATTTATACCCGGCTGGCTGGGACACGGTGGGAGGGGGGATCAGATGACCGGTGGGGCCGTGCCGGGACGGTGCCTCCTGCCCTGTGGCGGAGGGACGAGCTGTGCCCAGGGCTCCTCGCTCCCCTGCCACCAGTGACCTCGCTGCCCCCGGCCCTGTGGTCACCTCCCGTGGCCGCGCCAGGGTGACCGGGGAGGAACCAAAAGCTGTTCAAAGAAACAGTTTGTCCTGCAGCGGGAGAGACTGTCCCTGCGACCGGGAAAGATGGCACCAGCTGGGGTGCCCAGCTGGACCAAGCCATCAGGGCGAGAGGAGGGGGCTAGTGTGGCCACCTCCCCGCTTGCCACACAGCCTTAGGGTTTGCCACAAGCCGGCGGGGACAGCGGTGGTGGCTGGCTACCCGATGGACAGCCCGCTGCCAGGGCAGCCGTGGGACCGGGAGCCTGCGGAGGGACGGTGGCACATCCCCGGTGAGGTCTGGCTGCAATTGTCCCCAAATCACGCCCCGGCTCTGCCGCACTGGCAGCGCCATGGGGAGCCCAAAGTCCTTTCAAAGAGCACTTTGTCCCACGGCGGCGAGGAGTCAGGAGAAACCGTTCCTGCAAATAGGCAATCGAGACTGCCGCCCTGAGCATGGCACGGGGCCAGGGGTCCCCAGGCCACCCCTCAGCCCAGCCGGCACCTTCCCCTGCTCTGGGGTGCTCCCCGGCACCCCGCTCTCATGCCTGGCTCGGTGCTGCCTTCACCCTAGGGTGGTCACGGTCCCACCAGCTGTGCCATGGGATGCTCGTCCCCCGAGGTCCCCGCTTGAAGACCAACCACTGTGGTCAAGCGATGGGCAGGCACGCAACAAGAAGCCAGAGCCAGATTTCTCCGGCGCCCCGGGACGGGGCAGAAGGACCTTGGTCCCCTCGGGTGGCCGCTGAGCACAGCGTTTTGTGGGTTCCCTCTGCCTCCCTCGCCAGAAGTTTCTCTTCTGGGTCTTATCTTTATTGCAGATTAAACTGAGTCACCCCCACCCTCCGGGGCGCCAGTCACGGCCGGCTCCTGCACCCTGCCCCGGCACATGCTGGGCGTGAACGTGCCCAGGTGCCTGTTTGCCATCCTCCAGCCGAGCCCAGGTGCCAACCTCAGCGTTTTGGGTGTTTAAAACCCTCCTCCCTCCT